TCGTATTATTGCATTCATTATGTTCTATTTATTACTTCTAATGTTTGTATTTTTATTTTACAACTTTATAAATTTTTTTGAGAGATTTCGAAAAATAGTAAATTACAACAATAACAACTTTTTTTTTATATTATTTTAATATAAATATTAAAATATATATATATTTTGTATTTTTACATACAGCTATTTCGAGTATTACCAAATACCCATTATCAGCAATCTTGGAATTATTTCTTATATTTAATTATTCTTAATTATTTTTTTGAGACTACAAGTACCAGGAATCGTATACGTGTCCTGCCAAATTTGACGTTCAGAGTCAGCGTTCATTAGTCAACTGACCCAAATCTACACTTGAACTTTGTGTTTTGTTAATTTGCTGTAAAAGTTCATTAACAAATTCACTTGATGTGTTATATTAGAACAAAATCACAAACCAGCTGTAGTATATTTAAATGATTAATTATATTTATATTTTTAAATGTTAAATATACAATCTTTTTTTTACTATCCTTATTGCATGCTTTTTTTATATTATTCTTTCTTGTGTATAGAACCTTATCTGGGGACGTAATACGTAGAAAGTCATGCTAATGTTACTTTACGATTCGTAATTTTAATATACATAGTTTTCTTACCTATATACACACGTCAAGACAATAATTGCTTTTCAACTGTTGTTTCAGCTTCGGCTTCCTCTTTATTATAGAAGCAAATATAGAAAAAAATAACTGTTTGTCTTGTATTATAAATTAAATAATGCAGCTTAGTTATTGAAATAATATAACATTAAATAATAAAAAATTATTGTTAAAAGAATTTAATTCCGTTAAAAGTGATATTCATAGTTCTAACGGTCTAAACAAGTGGATTTCTATCATTTTTAGTAGTACAGTACTTTAAATACCTGGGTGTTGCGTATTAGCGACAGCAATAAAAGCTATGAAATCGCCGAAAAAAAAGAACCACTAGTAAATGCTTATATGTTCATGGGAAGTTTTTCAAGTGCAGCATATTTAATGGAGCAACAAAGCAGGAAATACTAAACCCATTAAACTTGTCGGCTATTTAAATGAGACTGAAAGGATTTTCACTCCTGATGTAATTGATATAATAAAAAATCGTATACAACTTTTGACCAATTTATCGGAATTTTAGTTACCATGAATGTTCAAAAGACTCGGAACCTGTTTCAGATTAACCATTGAATGCATCGATATATTATTCAAAATGTACGACATTCTGACACAAGCTTAGTAAATTTAAAAACTAAAAATGTAAATATTCTTACCGATTATTTTATTTATTTTATCAAAGTTATATTGCAAAAAAGAAGGAAGTAAAAAATTCTTGCCATTCGTGTCACCATTTGTTAGCCATTGGAATCGGTTGTTACTGTGAAACATATTAGAACCAGTTCGAGAAGACGCTGGCACTGATGATATTAGATGCAACAATGAGTTCAAACATATAATCTGCAAAAAAACACTGATTAGGACATAAACTAAGTCGCCACGAGAATGTAGTCATCAAAAAAAGAACGTCACACCAAGCATTTGATGTGAAAACGAGACATGACTGAGAAACTTTAATTAAACCATATCTATAATGCTAAGGTCGTAAACTCTTAAAAACGAAAAAAATTTAACTTATAACTTGAAACTTGAACATTGAAAGTTTGTACAGCCATCGCTACTTGTGGAAAAACACGATTAGTCAACAATTCTAATTCTTATCTAATTCTAATTCTAATTTGACAGAGATGAGTTCTAAGCCTGGCACTTGCAGCCCAACACAATATATACACTCTATAAACAATTTAAATAAAAATTCGAATATTTCATAAGTTCACTGATGATGAGTACTTGGAAACCCTCGATACAGGTATAGTCAGAAAAATGTCAATAAATTAACTAAAATTTTTCTTGTTGTCTTTTTATTTCTATTCGAACCCTTCTTACTTTTAAATAGTTTCTTTTAGTCATAACAGAAAGCGTCACTTTCGTCAAAAAAAAATGATTTTTATAATGTTCGTACAGAAATCATTGAGAGAAAAATGAATCATATGCACTTAAAACTTGTGTGTATTTAGTGTTCGCAAATAAATTTTTTAATTAACTTTTTGATTAAAAATGAATATTTTTAATATTATATAAAAAGCAATATTCTGTTACAGATCTATGTGTAGGTTGAAGCACATTAAAACGTATTACTTGTCATTTCTATTTTAATATTATGTCAAACAAATAACATAATACAGACTTGATGTAATGAATAAAATTTCTCAAGAATGATAAGAAATTAAAAAATTTATTTTTATACAACACAGAAATGAAAGTAATTTTATTTCATATTTCTGAACAAATAACAGATATGACTGTGCTCTCTAGTATGGAACTGTGAAATGGAGTTTTAAATATCCAATTTATTGCAGCAACAGGAAAAAAGCACACAACAGTGCTCGTATATTTTCTGTACTTATTTCTTTAGCAAATAAAAAGTCAATTTAATATAAGTAATAAAATACAAAAAACATTATTCCGTAGGATATTCAGTTCTCGTATATGGAACATTATTACATATTTTATATCCTTACAGAATACAATAAACACATAAATTATTTCTTTTTCCTGTCATTCTTTAAGATTGTCAAGAAAAAAAACAACACATATTCTTGCTTTCTATAAAGCCAGCTATGGCCGTAGATAAAGGAGCAAACATCTGCAAAATCTGAAATTTAAAAATATTTCGCAATTATTAAATTTTTCTAATCCTTAATTAAAATTTTTATTTATCTTTTAAGAAAATTGAAATCAAATATTTAATAAAACAAAAATTCTATAAGGTACTGAAAATATTCAAATATTATAGGCTTCCTAATCATTGTAGCATCTTTTAAGTGGAAATTCTTAGTATTAAATGTCTAAAAGGATTTAATACGTTAAATAATTGTAAGGGATTCACAAAAACAAAGTATACAGAAATATGGAATCGCATAAATCAAATAACAAAATTAAGACATACTCTAAGAGCACATGTTACGAAATAAAACTCTGTAAAGTAGGTTCTATACTATTTTTTATCGATGCAACAGTGCTTAGAGACCTATTTTAAATCCAAAAGTGGACATAATACACCCGACGGTCGCTGTGACACATCTCATAACAATAATAATAAATAAGAGCACATGTTAGGGACCTAATATGTGAAGAATGTCAGTCAGCTGCAGTGACCTCTTTCTAAACAGCAATCTAGGCTTTATCAAGAGTTCTTAATATTTTCTAACTCTTCAAATTTTATACGGCCTAAGTGGTAGGGCTAAGTAGTTATATGATATTGCCGTTTTACCCTAATAAAATATTTTTAATAATAATAAAAAAACCAGAAAAGAAGAGTAAAATCATCAAAAGTGAATATTTAAGATGGTCTACATAAACTTTAAACAAATTTAGAGCTTAACAGTATTTAAAAAAATGTCAGGAGAAAAATTGCTGCAGACGTGATCAAGAAATTTAAACAAGAAAATATTACCACATAAAATGTTACGAATACATTTGTAGTTAATACTAATGTAAGAATGAATGCTAACTTTTTATATTAGAAATGGATGTGTATAAGTTCCAGTATATTTCAAATTTTAAAATATCAGGCAATCTTGTAACTTTGTAGTAATAAAGAAAAGGTTACGTTAATAAAGAAATTTTCATTATAAGGTTGGCAACTGCGACACGTTTAATGAAAAAAAAAATTTTTGAAGGGTTCGAACAGTTATAAAAAAGCATCAACAAAACTTCATTTAATGTTAATTTTTTCTTGCCGAAAGTGACGCGTCCTTATGATGGAAAGAAACTATTTAAAAATTAGGAGGATTCGAATAGCAAAGAAAAGACAATACAAGTTATTTTCCTCCAAAACGACCATAAACAATATCGGCATCTAGCTGCTTATTTTAGCGATATTGTCAATAACAATGACACCATAATGTATTCCATTATAATTAGCAGGATTAAGTATATACGTCGGCGGATTTCAGAATATAGCAAATATACTAAAATTGACTAAGTAATGATACCATTAAAATGATGGTAAATATTTCTAATTATATCTTTTAATTTGAAATATTTTTATACACGAGCTTACTTAGGTAGTAAAGCCTACATTGTTTAAATAGGCCGGGATTCGTTGTTGAATTTGCTCTTTACTTTTTGTCCTACCATTGTATATATGTGTATATAAAAAGAAAACATTTTAATAATAAGAACACTTACAAAAAATGTTTTTGCTATTTTAATCAGCATTATAAATATAATGCATTATATTATAATATAATATAAACATTGATTTTTAACCTCCTAAACTTTTATTTAGTATATAAAAAATAAAAAACAACTTTAAACGCAAATTGAGAAAATCAGAATAAATTATAGCATATTAACTAATTCACCGCCTGAGATATTTAATGAAAGCAGGGTCCCTTGAGCAATTTTTAGTAGTGTAAAATAAGTAAAGTGACATATATATACACTCCATTTGTTTTTTTTTAGTTATTTTTTTATAGGCATTAACACTCACTTTTCAATCAATTTTTCAATTGATGCCTGCCAAAATATTATGACAATTGTTTATAATTTTTTAGTTACAGCTCTCTTAGTGAGCTAATTGGAGTTGTTTAAGCGAGATAAAAATTAGTTTTTGCGTCGGTAATCGGTGAACCTCGCCCAAAGCGGTAAAAAACACAACAGACAACTAGTAATGTTATGGCATTCGTAATTTGAAATGACCCTAGAACTTGTTCATCTATTACCTTGAAAAATGTCAGAGTAGAATGGCGATCGTCCAACCGGTGCGCTTAAAGGAGAAAATCCTGAAGCAACGACCCCAGATAAAAAAGAAAAAAGTGCTCTTTCACCAAGAAAACTTTTCCGTTTCACAGGTTATAGGCCATTGTATAAATTATACTTAATTTTGCATAATCAAATGGAAAATACTAATTTGAAATTTTAAGTACTTTTATCTTTCTGAATAGTTAAATTTTTGAAAATATTTCTGATTTTTAAAGTTTTTACTATACAGTTAACAGTTTTTAACATTTTAAATGCTTTTATTTTTTAATTTTTTTTTTTTGAATTTTGGCGCGACTATTATTTGACTTTTATTACCTTAAAGTATATATTTCTTTTAACATAGTTACCTTTAGCATTATATGCATGCGTGAGTAAAGTGTAAGGGTTTACTTCGATTGAAATGAATTAATATGAATTTAAATTATTGCTGAAACAACTCACATACGACTTATAGTTTATGTTTTAGGTTCTTGTTGACGTCAAAAAAATTTCTTGAAGTCCTTAAGGTTATATTGTTCCAAATCATATTAAGAATTTATTTATTTTAACTTATTAATCCCGTAAGCAGCGTGTAATAAGTGTAAT